AAACAGAAAAAAAGCTTGCATAAAAAAAAATCAGGAACCTGATTAGAAGACGCAATGTTGCACGCAAGCAATGGCAGCGTTCAAGATATCCCCCAGACTCAATCAACTGAATCATCAAGTCAGACTCCTTACACGTACATACACTAACAATGACTGGGCCAGGTACATATCCTCTCTTTCATTGGAAGGTAACTCCGTTTGGAGGTCCATTTCCAAACTACAGAGATGCTATAGCAACATTCCGCACCTAACTTGCTGACATGGAATTGTTTACACCGAGGTTGAAAAAGCAGAGTCACTTGTCGATCACTAAGCTTCTCAGTTCTACACAAAAAACTTACCCCACCCACCCACAGAAAACATAGCTACACAGACACTAACAAATTTCACTTCACAACCACAGACAGACAACATTCCTTCTGTCGTGCAGTTGGAGGTCTTTAAATATATCTCCAAGGTAAAGACCGGTAAGAGACCAGGTGTTGATCGCATCTCCATCAAGAATAATAGAAGTATAGAAATCCATTATGCTCCTCAAGTTAATCAAAATATTTAACCATATTCTTCACCTGGGATTCTTTCTCTCCTGCTGGAAAACTGCAATAAATTCACTTATACTTAAGTCAAGTAAACCTGCAAACAACCTGGTATATTATAGGGCGGTTAGTTTTCTCTTATCTCTCCGCAAGATTGCCGAGTAAATCATTCTTCAGAGGATCATTATGTATGCAGAAAAAAAAATAGCCTTCTCATCGCTGAAGAATATGGATTCAGAAAGAAGCATTCCACCATCCATCAACTATACAGAGTTACAGAAATGATTTCCAGTGGACTTTACAACAAGCTCATTACTGGAGCAATATTTCTGTACGTTGCGAAGGCCTTCGATCGAGTACGTCTGGAGGGCCTCATACACAAACTAATCACCCTGGGTTTCCCAGGATACAACACAAGCATCAGTAGTTCCTATCTGGCAGACAGACACTTCATCCCTCGTTTCAACCACATAATCTCCTTTCCCAGGCTTATACAGGTTGGGGTTACCCAGTGGTCCCATTTTATTCAACGCGTTTACACGAACGACATCCCGCATACACCACACACCAACCTAGCTATGTATGCAGATGACACAGCAATTCAGTCACAAAGTTCATCTTATGACTCAGTCTTAGAAGCACTACAAAACCACATCCAAGCACTGGAATCTTGGCTGTGCCCATGGAAAATCAAAATTAATGTGTCAAAAATCTGTTGCAATTCTAGTTACCCCCAACCAAAAAAAAAAAAAAAAAATATTGACAAAAATCTTTATATCACTATATGTATAATAATACGTCAATCCCCTGGACTAAGCAGTCCCACTATTTAGGTGCTGTTCTTGATCACTGGCTCACTTGGTCTCCACACATCACACAAATTCTTACTATGTTTCGAGTGTGTAAACATACACTTGCCCCCTTAATTGTTCGAAACAGCGTTCTCTATACATAATAAGTTAAGGTGCATCCACATGACTACGCTAGCGACGTAAATGACTGGAGAAACCCACGTCGCCGGCGAAAAGTCTTCTAAACGATGATGCGAAAGAAGTCTGCATTTAGAATTATTGAAGAGAAAAAATCATGCAACACTCATAGAAGGCTACAAGTTCAAAGTTGTTTCATCTGCTGTTTCGTAGTCTGGTCAGAAAAATATCACATTTGGTTCCTTTTATTGTGAAATTTTGCTTATTAATCAATTTAACAACTCGGATAGTAAACAGTTATTATGCGCATAAATCAGTTTTTATGCAAGTTAAGATTTATAAAATTGCTTTGGAATACTGTATATAAACAGAATTAAATGACTTGAAACACCATTCACCGTATAATAATATCAACTACATATTTTTTTCCGATTGTGACCCGTGATAAGAACTCGGTCAACTATTGGCTGTTCGTTCATGTCGAGGGCGGAAAAGCTGAAAACGAGCGAACTCAGGTTTACGTACTCTGCGTAATGTGAATTTATGCCAGCGCGGAAGGGGGGGGGATAGCGGCAACTACGTCGCGAGCGTACTCGTGTGGACGGGCTTTGAGACTCGCAGATCTTCTCTAGCCTAATTTGGCTAGTGGCAGCTACATGCAGCCCATCGTCTCGGTCAGTTCTTTTTCATCTTCATTGGAAGAAGCTTCGACGTTATTTTACTCTTCTACCTGTTGGAATGTATATATGCCATTATAATTGCTATCATCGCTTCACATATTTTCACCATCTGATATTTGTTCGGAACTCCTATGCGTTCAAAAATCGTATACTCTTGTTATACCGGGCTAGCGACTCTACGCGGGTCGGATACCCGTAAACTGCGAAATCATTTCGAGAACCCCAGGTCTTCCGGAGTTTCCAATAGTGTGAGACTACTCACTGTTTGATCATTAAACAATAGCAGTTAGTAATGAATCAAATAGTACATAGTAATGAATATTTTTTGCTTTAAAGCCTTACGGCATCATCAATTAAAACCAATGGATGGTAAGTGCCAATAATGATGGATTATATATTCGATTTTAAAATCAGACATTTTAACAGCCAAATTGAAACTCTGCAATGCTTAGTTTTGATCATTTAGGAAGGGTATATGAGAATAATTCGGTACTAAAAGAAACAAACTTATTGTTGTCATCACAAATATGCATGTAAAAAATCAAGAAAATTAGATAGAGAAAATTAAAAATTAATTTCAAAATTTGACTAAGCAAGCAAGCAGGAAACCGAATGAAAGTGCATAAAAATTAAGAAATTCTTGTTAATTTATTTCAAAAGCTTTTTTCTATTCAAAACTTTCTTTTGCTTTCAAAATAATATCTAGCTGTGGCTCTTGAATTTTCTTGCATTGTAAAATGCAGCTCCTACTGTCATGAAATTTGATCATTCGTTATATGGATTTTGTAATACTGAAAACTAATAATAACTGTTTTATCACATAAAATGTATGCCAATAATCATAGTGGTGTGAATCACCATAATGAATAATAATCTCAAAATGAACGAAAAAATTCTGCACATCAGGCAAAAGAATCGATAAGGAACAAAATATAGTGAAACCAGAATGTGTTCAAATACAAGCTTTCTTAAAAATAAAATAAATAATAAATAAAAAATTTTAAAAGTTAAAAATTAACAAACCAAAAATTAAGACACAATAACACGCCGAAATAAATACTAATTCAGAAGTCAAACAACAAAAATCAGCGTTAATTTACAAAATTTTCACAGGACTAGTTTCGATGGTTTTACCGAACCCATCATCTTCAGCTGCAAAACCGCAAATGAACAAGATAGGAAATAATGTTTAGATAAGATAAGAAAGCCTGGACAAGAATAAGCAAGTGGCGCCATCTGTTGGCGAAACCAGAACTAAAACATAATTTCTCTAAAAGCCGAAGGCAAATTTGGATTGGAATTAGGATCGTTAACTAGAACAGAAAGATTTTTATGAATGTGAAATGCCTCTAGAAAATCCAGTTCTCCAATGGAAGATGTTTTTTGAATAATTTTGGCAGCAGAAAAATTGAAAGTGTGATTTCAATTCTGCTGCCAAAATTATTCAAAAAACATCTTCCATTGGAGAACTGGATTTTCTAGAGGCATTTCACATTCATAAAAATCTTTCTGTTCTAGTTAACGATCCTAATTCCAATCCAAATTTGCCTTCGGCTTTTAGAGAAATTATGTTTTAGTTCTGGTTTCGCCAACAGATGGCGCCACTTTCTTATTCTTGTCCAGGCTTTCTTATCTTATCTAAACATTATTTCCTATCTTGTTCATTTGCGGTTTTGCAGCTGAAGATGATGGTTCGGTAAAACCATCGAAACTAGTCCTGTGAAAATTTTGTAAATTAACGCTGATTTTTGTTGTTTGACTTCTAAACCAAAATTTTTTTAAAAAATCAAAAGTTTATGCTTTTTAAAGCACTTAAGTGTTCTTGTGAAGTCGTAAAATAATTTTTACACAGTTCTTCTGGAAATAATTTAGCATTTCATATTTACAGTTAATGTTAACTGTCGGAATAATGCCGTTCCACGCTTGCTTTGATTTAAAAAGTTTCTGCAAGAATGTAAAAAAAAAAAAAAAAAAAAAAAAAACTGAGCCAAATATTTTTTGGTCAAATTACGTTTGAGAAAATGAAGCCCCAAGAGCTTTAATTATGCACTTCATTTACTAAATTTAATTTACGTACTCTTAATAAATATACATGGTGTAAAAAAAAGGACCTAGGTTTTATTTTAAAGGTGTAATTTAAAAAATTATTTCCTTAAATTTGTTTTTATTAAAAGAAAATTGCAAAATTTGCTTTTAATTATTATTATTATTATTATAATTTATTATTATTTAAGTTTCTTCTTTTTTCCCCTTTATTTTTGTATAAAAGATTTGAGATTCAAACCATACATGAACATTTGAGGTTGTGGATGATTTTGAGCTACACACTTGTGATAGACCTTCTAATTTAAGAAGTAATCCCCAAAATTTTAGATTCAGAACACAATCAAATCAGATGCTTAAAATGAACTACTCATATTAACAGTGCCAAGTAATAGGAAAAAAATATGCTGCAATAAATGATAAATTAATGAATCAAATTTATGGAGATTTTCTCACTTATTTAATAGAGAAAACATTCATTCAATATTAACTGTGCACTTTTTTTTCACTGTATCAATTGCATAAAAATCTCCCAACATGTATTTCCTGCAAGTGATTTAATTATTTAAATGGCATCATAATTGCTTGTAAAAACAGCTAGCATAAGAAAACTTCATACTTTTAACTTCTGAATATTTTTTTTCATTTAAATCATTTAAAAAATGGTATTTTTAAGTCTAAAAAATAAAAAGTTGAGATCTGACTGAATTTATTGAACTTTTAAATTGTTTGAGACAGCTGATAGTAAAAAATGGCTTAGACTAAAATTAAGCGTACCTAAGGGTAAATCACTCATTTAAGAAAAACACAAATAAAATGAAAAATTAGGTTTCATTTTATTAATACAGTTATATACATGAGAAATGGAATATACATATATAACAATATGGGTTCTTCATGAAGTTACATCTAAGCTCGAAGTATTGGAAGCTGGCAAGACATGAACTTGCATGGCTCTGCTCCAACTATAAACCTGACCTGAGTCGAAAGGCTCTAATCGTGCAACATTATAATTGCCACTGTCTTTTGAGGGAGTTGAATCTAATAAGCAAACAAATACCAAATAAATATAGTTCTAAATAAATATATAGTTCTAAGTAAATATTTCTATTACATGCTGCTATAAAAAACTTCTTTCTAAAATAAAAATATTTAATATTGTCACTCATAAAACTAAATCTTCATAGTTCCTGAATAAAATTAAAATTTTTCACTTTTAAAAGTTCTTACATCTGTTTCAGCATTTCTTTTCTAAGTATAAAATGATGTAAAAAGAAAAATGTCAAAAAGTTAAAAAATATGCCCCGATTTAAGTAAAGTAGCAGTATACGTGAAGAAGCTTGCAATATGTATAGCAGCACAATTTTATTATTACAATTTAGACTTCATTTTGAATGCATACAAATAAAAAAAGTTCGAAATTTTGCAGTCAGTGTATATAATTTTTTTAAAAGAATATTAGAAACACTTGCAATGGACAAAATAACTTTTCAAAATTATTCACTTTATTACACAGAAAAGCAGTGCACTTTTATGATATGAAAGCTAAATAAAAGATATCATGCATTCTTTTAATTTGTAATAGCAAGCTCTTGCATTTCAGATTTTTGTTACAAGACAGGATTTTATAGATAACTGAAAACTAACATGCTCTCTAATTATATCAGCCATTTGAAGATCTAAATTGCTGTCTTAAAAAGACCTTATTTTCTTTTGTTTGAATACGGTAAAGTACACTGCACACACACACACACACACACACACACACACAAAAAAAAAAAAAAAAAAAAAAAAAAAAAAAAAAAAAAAAACAAAAAAAAAAAAAAAAAAAAAAAAAAAAAAAAAAAAAAAAAAAAGAACAGTTTTATATCTCCCATTCTACTGAGCCGATTGACGAAATTCAACTTGCGTTTTTCATGCCTCAAAAGCACGACTTAGGATATGTATTACATTTATAAATAGCAATATAGGTACTCTGACTCAAAATTGGTCCTTTTTCTGAAATAACATGACAATTTTTTCCCATATTACGATTCTACGACTCAAATTATGCCAAAGTGCCAAGTTTTGTAAAAATCGCAAGAGTAATTTTTTAAAAATTAGCTCTGAAAATTTTAGCTCCTCAGTATTAATTGAATTTTATATATATTTATTAATATCTCTTTTTTTATTAAATCTACTTGATTCATTCTTTCAGAATTCAAAATTTAGGCTTAATCCAAGTATAATTCACACATTTTTATGATTTATTTTTAAAATTCGTATTTTAAAATATTTTTTATAAATTTTTCGATAAAATATTTGTATTTGTCGAAAATTTTTAACATCAACTTAAAGTAGATGCATTTTTAGGCACACCTGCAAAAATTTAGTTTTTTATTCAAAATTTCCTAAGATATATATGAATTTCAATTTTGGCGCGTTTTGAAATTTGGTGTATTTATTATAAGCAGTAATAACAAAAATGTGGTTTATGCACTTTGTTAAAATTTTTTGAAAGTATGAACGATGACTTTTTTCTGTTTGTGCACAATGGAAAGAAAGGGGAAAGGAAAATAGGTTGCTACAAATTACGAAGTTCGCCAATAAATTATTCTTAGCGCAAACTTAAATAAGGCCACGATAAATTTTTGACTTTCTCCGTAAATTTCGCACAAAATTTTAGAAAATTTAACATTTAGGCATAATAATGGCTTAGATTTATTTACATATGAGAAGAACCATAAAAATACTCATGCAGCAAGCTTATATACCAAGACAGATATATATAATTGAATATATCATAATTGCACCTGGGCGATTTTGTGCCAAATATGGCAACCCTGCCTTCTCCTTGCCATTTTCTGGCAGCCCTGAACACACTTTGCAGGAAAGCTATCTTACCGCAGCTGGACATTTTGTAAAAATACTGTTAAGTATCATTTTTGTAAATTCACACAGATTATTAGTTAATGTTATTTATACTACAAAGCCTTCAGTATTTTAGAGCCTCTTATATATTATTTTGCATGCATATATTGAAATCTAACTGATATGATCAAATTCTGCAAAAATAAAATCAACTCAATATACAAATACCTGTATATCATTTCCATCAATCACTTGAATAATTACATTTAAAAACAATCATTTTAATAAATTTTCAGTATATATAGGATTAAAATCTTTCGTAGCATTGATACAGTTGCATAAACTGCATCAATGCTATCAATGCTTCATAATTGATACAGTTTACACTTTGTACTGTCAAACAGCAAAACCAGATATGCATTTCACACAAATAAAGAGAAAGAGGAGGGGGGAGAATTAGTATAAACACCTTTCTGCTTGGTATACAAATGTGTATTGATATACAGAAGAATTTTATGCATTTTTTTCATACTGCCGCTGAATATGAGTTAAAATATAGAACTATAGGTGGAAATAATTTTGGTGCTGCTGGCACCAATATATTCTTCGCAACTTCTACATTTACTTTCTTATTTCAGTTAACATTCAAAATAAGTAAATAAAATTAACAATATTCTCGCTCAGCATTTATTTTATCCAATTAAAAGTGACTACTTATAGTAGAATCTAAATGTAATCTATACTTAATTGTACCAGATTTTTTTCTATGGTAACATGGTAGAAGATAATACAATAAGAGATCTAATCATCTTTAACTTTTAATAGTGTTTAAGATAATACTCATAATTACATAATTTTAACTGAAAATTTATACAGCCTTTATTTCACAATTTTTATGACACCACCATGTATGCATTTTTGAGAATTTTCCCTCCTTAAAGTACACAGTTTGAATTTACCTTTCACACAGCAAACAATATTGTCTAATAACAGCTCAAGTTTTTGCTGAAAAATAATTGTATCAGATATATTATATAAAAAAAACTGAAAGCTTTCAGATTTTACTATATTATGCCCAAAGCAGTGCTTTTTTTTTCATTTACACACATACACATGTTTCAAAAGCATTTTCGAGAGCATTTGGGATAACACCACTTTCGGCTAAAAATATTTAAAAATAGCATATCTTTAGAATTTCTGGCAAAGAGTGTCACGCACTGGAGATAAAAATGTTTTATTCTGCACAGTGTTGCCACTGCTCGGCTTGAAATTGTTGAGTTTTTTAATACCAAAAATTCATTAAAGTTTTACAAATTTTGAAACATATAATAAAACAAATTCGAAATTCAAAATTTGGGCTTCCAGGTGCCCATATTTTTGTGGTGGAGTATGTTATTCAAAATTTGATGCTCTAGGACTGTTGTTTTTCACAATGCAAGAAGTATTCCCACATTCATGCACTTTCTTCATTATTTAATTTCTATAATCATAATACAGGATATTAATATTTCGTGGCAACAATTTGAAAAGTTATTCAATGCAAAATGCTGTTTTGAGACCAATAGCCCTTCTTGGCTAAAAACAGGATATCACATGAAAATTACCTCTGGAAACAGATTTCCTTTGGTCAGCTGGAATGTATTTTGATAGTCGTACAGTAGGCAAAGGTAAAAAACCAGATATTAATGGCATGACATCTAACACAACACTGTGCTTCCCTGATTCATCGACATTGACAACACCTGAAAAACAAGTATGTAATAGAAATCGTCCTTTTTTATACATTTAGACAATTGAAAATTACATAACCTAAATAAGAATATAGAATTCCTGATTTACAATTAATTGAAAAAATTTAATAAAGGCTATTGAAAAGTAACATTTGCTAATCAATATTTTAAAAACATAAAAAATAAATATTAATTCAAGCATAAATTTTCTATTACCTTTCCTTTTTGCATATATTAATGACCATTTCAAAATTAAATTTCAGAAGTAATTTTAAACAACTTTCCATAAAGTGTCTTACTGTGCATTGATTTTAATACATGTTAACTATGAGTCCCATATATAATAACAGCCTAAAAAAGACTGACGTGGACACCACATGACTTCCTTGCACACCTATTAAATTATATGCATTTTCATTTAAACTTTATCATTTGAAAGTGAAATATGATCCTCCAGTTCTTTAATAAAGTGAGCATTACATAATTACTAAAATATTAGTTTTTATTAACATCAAATACTTATACATGACACCATACGAGCAAAGAGATCCATCCAGACATAGGCTGTTTAGCAGCCCATAATACAGTTTTCATGGTCTCTCATGCCAGAGGTGATCTCGGGAAGTCGAAACCCCCCCCCCCCCAAGGACAACCTTTCTTGAAATTTAATATGTAGCAACCACACAACCAGATCCCTGTTGAGCTTGAATAGACCACCATAGAAATGGTGGTTCTAGTCCTGTGAAGGCAGCTTATCTCCGCCATACGGTCTACTCCCAACATGACAAGTGATCAGCTCAGGGAAGAAAATACTCACACAATTATTAATTCATTCATAATGATTATTTCGAATGGTGACTGGGCAAAATCATTGATTAGGCATTGGAATTGAAGGTCATGTACACCGAACTTGAGTTCTTTTTATGACTAATTAGAAATTACAAAAATTATGCAGAGCACGTTTAAATATTGATTTGGGGAAAACAAAGCAGACTACAGATGTACAAGTTAAAAATGTTTTATGACGTTTTTAGACAATATATTGTTTTCAGACAATAAAAGTTAAATCAGGGTCATAAAATTTTATTATAAATTAGATCTTTGCCTTCTTCTTTGAGAATCACTGAAACGTGACTTAATAGCAATGATCAGGCAAATCTACAATTCCTAATTTAGAAGTCAAACAACAAAAATCAGCATTATATTTTCAAATTTTCACAGGACTAGTTTTGATGGTTTTACCAAACCACCATCCTCAGCTGCAAAAGCGCAAATGAACAAGAACTTTCTTATCTAATCATTAATTTTTAATTGGCTTGAGCCATTAGCATTCGACCCATCAATGGAACGCCCTCGCTGCAATGCTGTCTGACCCATTCAATCATCACTTTGTCATGATTGTCACTTTTAGCATAACGAACAATTTTTCTGTTATTCATTATGAAATGGGTGCCAGAATCAACAAAAAATTCAAAAAGTTCCTTTTTCTTTTTTCTTATGTCGTATACATTTGACTTTCCAATGCTATACTCCTCGCATAATTATGAGAATGATATGGCTATATCCATTTTTTGCAGCAACTCCAATTTTTATTTAATGGACATCCAAAACATGCATCCACTTTGTAGATCCTTTGCCAGCTCCAGAATAAGAAATTCCTTTCAGCATAATCAAAATATCAAGCTTTAATTTTTATAAAACTGTAATAATAATAAGCTAGATCAAATTAGAAGATTAAAGAACAGTGCAGTCTGCTATATTAACTGAAATGCCTTAGAATCAGTAAAGACAATTTTAACCTACCTTAATAGTGTCCGCTACACATTATTGGCTATGCATCATAAGATTGGCGACAAAAGACAATTTGTTCCGCTAAATTTTGTCTTGCTTCTATTGTGTACTGAATTAAGCCTGAATTGTATTAGTTTAGTTATTAATTACATCTACGTCGTCTATTTCTTACCATGCTTAAGACTAATCTAAACTCCTACATATACTTAAGGCTCTATATAGGGCCGGTGCTAGATACTGCCTGGTGCAGTTTCTGGGGGTCCTAAATTCTGCTACAAAGCACCTTTATAAGTTCTAAATTTTCGCCATCCCAAACTTTGGATCTCAATGCTTTCCCTAAATTATAAAAATTTCTCATTCCTTAATTTTGCTGCTCGGTGCTTCCCAAATACCAAAAATTTTGTCTTCCCTAACTTCTGCTGTCTGGTGCAGCCATATTCTGCAATGGCTTCTGGATTTATGTGAATAATATATCAGTTATTCTTAATTGAAATAGCATTAAATGTAATCCTTTAGCCTATGAGTTTCATTAACAAAATCTATTTTTATTATAAGAAAAGAAATTTTTATTAAATTTTTCCACGTCAACATTTCTTAGAGCATTTAACTTACATCTGTAATCATTTCCAAGCATAATATTAGCATAAAAGGTTCCCATACTCTTGTTATTCAATTACTAATATAAAAAAGTGTTTAGACATCACTGCATGAATCATAACTGAAGCTGTCATGTATTGCTAAACATGCGGTGATGAAAGCATAAGATAATAAATAATGATTTGTCAGGTGGGCGTTAGGGATATAAAATACTAGTAGGTGTAAAATCAACACTGTTCCTATGTAGAATGTTTTGGTTTGAGATGTATGCCAAGCAGATACTTACCTACAGAGCCAAATTATTAATCTCACAAATTTATGCTTACTTGATTGTTTCTTCAATAACGAGGTATTTTATTTAGTGCATAAGTGAAATTATGAATTGGAACTCTCCACATGTTTTATTATTGAAGGAAAAATCAAATGCGCTTGCATAAACCATACAAAAAAAAGTTTGTGGCTTTGAGGTCCGGATTTTAGATCATTCCGGATACTAGACGTCCGGATCTCGGACTTTATACTGTAAAACTATATTACATTTATTTTAGGTATGCAGACATACAGTTTGTTCTGGAAGAATATAATATAGCACCATAAATAATTAACTACATAAGAAAAGAGGATGCAAATCTTTCTAAACTTTTACATGATGCAGAATCTGCTGATAACAGCAAATAGTTCAAAAGAAAAATTTCAGGAAATTAATGTATTTTTGAACAGTAATTTAATGTAGGCACAAGAAGTGGCATATCATGTCTTATTGACATTATCAAAAAGTAGTAGACAAATGATTTATATTAACACATACACTTCCTTTACTTCATACAAGAAAGTAATAATAATATAAATAAATTAGAAAAATTGTAAAGTATCTTTTAAACTATACACCAAAATACACATAGCAATAAAAGATGAATTAATACAAAAGTTGTTAAAAATCTTTAAAAGAGATAAAATTTTACTTTATACATAATAAAAAAAATTCACCTATATATTATTGTTTAAATTTTGGAAACAACATACTTACCAGCAGTTCTTCCACAAACTGCCCACATTGCCTGATCAGCAACAACTTCATACATAAGAGAAGTGAAATCTGATTTATGTATTTGATTAATAGAGATATGCATGAAACACATTATTCCAGCACGGCAGAATTCAGAACCCTTAGGTGGTTCTACTCTTGCTCTAATAGCATATAATGTCTACAAAAATAAACAAATTAAGTGGAAAAACAAGCACACAATTTAGGTAAATACATTTTTGAATAAATTTATAATCTCACCTCATAACTATTCAATTTAAATTCAAAATGATATTGATATGGACCAAGAACTATGTCCTTTTTTAGTTCATAATCAGTTGAAAAATGAAAATGAAGGGGCAGTTGTTCGGGTTCTTCACTCATTATCTCCCACAAGTAACTAGCAGTCTGATCAGCATTCACAATCTAAAATGAAACATACTTACATGAATTCTATTATTAAACTAAAAAAGAAACATATATTTCATTCATGATAAAAATAATTATTAGTATGCCGATCACAATTAAAATAGTTTATAAAACGTGATTCTAGATCCCCCTTAATTTGAGTTACTAGCAATGCCCCCATTAGTAACTAACATTTGTCAAAACTTCAAACAGTAACTGATGTACTTAAACACACAAGATTATATACACATATAGAAAAAATATCAACTGTATCATTTTTCAGAAATGAAACAGAACTAAAAACTTTTGAATAGTATGAGGGAAACTGTAGATTGTTAGTACAGATGGGATTGATATTTATTATGTGTTCAAAGCAAATGAAAGATGACAGAAAATGATTACTATATTTCAGTAATTATTGGTTATATAAGCTATAAGATAAACTTACAAAAAATACTTTCCTTTCTTTTCTGAAGAAAAGGAATCAGCATTAGTTGCCAATAAAACAGCCCTCAATAATGCTTTATATAAAATTTACACCAACTGCTTTTCAGATTAGTTACAGACTGGTATAGCCTATGAAATGAAAACATATGCAATTCAAAGTTCAAAATCTGGATGTATAATATCTGGAATGATCCAATATCTGGACCATCTACTGAAAATAAATAAATAAAAAAAAAAAAAAAAATCTGAAATGTTTCAGATTTTAAATTACGTCCAAAGGGGCGTTTTTTAACATTTTGTGTGTTTACCTTTCTTTATTAAATATCATGTTCCTCGCACTTTAAACCACAAGAATCCAGTTCAAGCAACAGCAATATCGCAAAATAGTTTTAAAACGAGCATATCTTTAGAATTTCCGATACAGAGACTCACGCGCTGGAGATAAAAACGTTTTTTTTCTGCACAACGTTGCCATTTGCTCGCTTTGAAATCCTTGAGTTTGTTAAATCAAAAATTCGTCAAAGTTTTAAAAATAGGAAATCGATCATAAAACAAATTTCAAATTTCAAATTTGGTCTTCCACGTGCCTCATATTCGTTGGAGGATTACGTTATTCAAAATTCGATGACTCTATGTACCGTTATTTTATGACAATGTGAGAAATATACATACATTTACGCAGATTTTCATTATTTAATTTCTTCAAATATAATGCAGGACTCTTAACATTTTATGGCAACAGTTTGAAAAGTGAACCGACATTTATCCGTCCGACGCAAAATGCCAAAACGAAACTAATAGTCCTTCGGGATTCAAATCCCTTTGGACTAATAAAATAAAATAATTCCCCCATCCCCTTACATAGTTTAAGAATGGAGAATATAATGCTCAACAAAAGGAAGTAGGGCATGCCATAAATTTGACTTTCCTCTAGACTAAGTGAGATTGCTACATGTCACTTTCAAACACTTTCTGGCTAGGGAGTGGCACCATGCCCAACAACAATACATTGATTGACACTGTATAATGATGTTGACCAGGATCACTCTCTTGACCCTTGAGTGGTTGCAAAGGGTTAACATTTTTCTACCTGAATTAAACAATAAGCTCCAATGTTGCAACATCTGCATGCCATAATAACTAAATTTAAATTAATATCTGGATCAAAAATCCAGAAATTTCCAAAATCCAGATTTGCCAATGTTACAATGATTCAAGATCTTGGACTTTTGATTGTATAATCCAATATACTGTGGGAATTATAGTTTTAAAATCTCTGTAATTTTTACTTAATTCTAGATTTCCTATCTGCTGTATTCTTTTTCTTCAATAGCATTTTCAAATCAGCTCTTGTTCTGAAGATCAAACTGGCAAATTCTTGCAGTTAAAAGTTTTATCTATTAACTAAAAGATTACTATAACTATTACTATAACTTGTTAACCAAAAGATAATTTTTAATAGCATATTATTACAGATGCCGAGTTATTCAGAATGTTACATGTTATAAAAAAATAAAGACATCTATAATCCTTCTTTAGAATGATAAGAAGTTATACCAAAAGATTTAACACTTATTATAGATACAGTAATTTAATGAAATTATGATTACAGAACGAAATCTATTTTTATGTAACAAATTATAATACATTCATTACCTCAACTCATATAATAAAGTTCTAAAAGAAATATTTGAACCATCGGTATATTTTATTTCCACTCTTATAAGATTATAATTAGCAAAAATACAGTGAAAGCTCATGAAGATAATATTTCCAAGTAATTTTACTCTTCTGTAGAGATGATTGTCCTTGAAAAGCAATGTTCTTCTTTTATCCATTGAAAAGTAATGGTCACTTTTACAGTGGACACCATAAGATGTTTCACTATATTTTAAAAACAAGAGATACTAACCAATTCCTGCACAGAATAAAGTGCTTTCAAAGGAACATCTTTCATGTCTACTGGCTCTAATTTTGTATTCTTGAAACAAAATATTTTGGGACTCATTCCATGTATGACTATCTGTACATATTTCCTAAAATGTGAAAAATAAAAGAAAAATGCATTGAAGAGATCTACCTATAAATAACTAAACTTGTTTACTATCATATAATATAACTGGAAATAATTTTAAGTAAATATAATTATGTTGTACTGTTATTCACATTAAAAAAAATCAGCAATAATTGGGTGTCTAATTACTCTATCATTTGAACTAAAGATAAAGTAACACGCCAAACAAATATTAATTTAGAAGTCAAAAAACAAAAATCAGGGTTATATTTGAAAATTTTCACAGTGAAAATTTGAATGCTGATTTTTGTTGTTTGACTTTTAAATTAATATTTGAACTAAAGTTTTCGAAATATTTAATTATTATATTATGATCCCAGCATACTGAAGTTTTCTTATATCCCATAATCACAATTAGCTATAAATATTTTCATATGTTGTCAAAAAAAATATGTTCAGATTGGTTTATATATGTTGCAAAATGCCTACTTGGATTAATATTTCATATTATAAAAGCATATTACTTATTTTACTCTATCAAGTAAACTAATTATGTTATATAATTTACCATAATTTTTTACAAATTTGTAATTCTAAAGCAAAAGAGACATGTAATTAAATTTTCTAATTAAATAAATTCTAATATTTTCTAGATTATTATCTTGCTAAATATGCAGAAGTATTATTTTGACATTGAAAGTTGATGCTACCAAGTTTCTAAATCTAAACTGTCTTACTGCATTTCCCAATCTTGCTAAAAAATATTTTCAAGTATGGTATGAAATTATGGCATCAAAGATTTACATGAACATACAAAGTTTTGTCTCACCAAAAATTAAGCCATTGAGAATATACAGATAAATCAGCTCTAAATACTTATTATAATGTTTATTTCTACATTATACCTATAATTCAACATACATGATTCTGAGCTACTTGTTGCCTTGTTTTATTTTTTAACACTGATTTTAAATGGAACTATGGAAAACAGGAAAGATACAAGCTAAATAACATAAATGAACTCAAAATTTACATTCCCAATGATTAGCTATTGCTATATAAAGGCAGGAGCGAAAAAGATTGAAAGAAAAAAAGACAAAAAGAGGTGAGGGAAAAAAATACATTTTTACAGCTAAAAATAATGCAATAAAGAGTAAAAAAAAACCTGAAAAACTTACTACTGGAGTGCTAAATTATACTATTCAAGTTTAAAATTGCATTAGTAAGGTTTAGTTTGAACTAACAATGAGTTTAAAACAGCAATTGTTTTAAATCAATTAGTTTTTGAATCCTTCATTATAAGAAGCTAATTTGTATAAACAAGGTCATCTTTAAGGACAATTTTTTTTTATTATTCAACTGTCTGTAGTCAAAAATCACTATTTAAATTTCAGTAAGGCATATTTTCAATCTCAAATACTTTTTGTTCCATATACTACAAAAAATAGCTAAATAAGATACTTATTTGAGTAGTATCTTTATGAAACACAAAAGGATAGCTTAATTTTTAAAAAATAAATAAATAAATAGTTAACAAATAAAATTCAATACAATGAACTAGTTTAAAAAGGGCAAAAAAGATGTGTGCTTGCTAATTCAATCTTTTCAAATGTCTTTATATTTCAAGATATTTCATTATTTTCTCAAAACTTTTTTTATTAAAAACATAATTATTCAATCCCACATAGCACAAAAACATCCCTGGGATATCCCGAGGATGTTGCTCGTGGGATATGCGCACATCCTCAGGACATCCCGGAATATCCCGCAAACCTCCTAAACACCTCCTCCCGAGTGCTTAATGTCACATCCTCAGGACATCCTAACTAAGTCTCAGCGACAGCGTACAGGATGTTATTAGAATATGAGCTCCTACTTACTACATCCTCAGGACATCCCGGGATATCCCACTAACCTCCTAAACACATCCCATCATATCCTAAGAACATCCTATCTATGTCCCATCGACAGCGTATGAGATGTTATTAGGATTTAACGTCCTACTTACTACATCCTCAGGACGTAATATCCCAGTTTCCTCCTAAACTCATCCTCCTGATTGCTTAATGTCACATCCCAGTATATCCTTAGGACATCCTATCTAGGTCCCACCAACAGCGTATGGGATGTTATCAGGATTTTAAATTTTTACTAGTTACAATATCACTTTAACCTTTTAAATACATACTCTCAACTGCTTAATACCCAGTATATATACAAAGAAATTTCCAGTGAAAATATGTGAAGGTGTCATAATGATCTAAAACCTACTTATTTTACACAGATAGTCTCAAATCCTTCTCCTATAGTAACTCTGGAAAAATCAGAAATGTTGAGAATATTTATACAACTTGTTTTTAAAACTGAATTTGTGAATATATTAAAACTGAGTAAGGAAATTAAAATGAATTATTAATACAAAATATTATAACAGAAATTTTGCTTTTATTTTTAAGATATTAAAAGTCTTTCGATCATTTTTAAACATCCAATAGCCCCCAAATTGAAGTATTCATAATTAAACTATTTTACAAAATCAGTTTCTAATTTGTTAATTTGTATTAAAAATTCAAAAATAAAATTAGGCATTTAATTAATCTTTACATAAATGAATCATCTTTCTTTAAAACATGTAAAAAAATGTTAGTGTTTTGATGAGACTGTTGGGAAATTGTTAAAAGGAATAAATTGTACTTTTAAAACTGAATCAATCCCTAGCCACACAATAAATAAATATGTTTTCGTAACATGAAAATGCTGCAGGCTCTTTTATATATTTAATATTTAGTTGTAAAAATTATGTTCTTGACATTATTTTAACAATTCTTTACATCATTCAAAAGGTAACTCAAGGAGCTCTTCAAAAATTCTCTCTTTTCTACTCACACAATTAAAAAAAAAAAAAAAAAATCCGAAAGGCCTCAGATTTTAGCAGTCACTGAAAAGGGCTCAAAGTTTATGAGTGCATAGATTATCAATACAGTACTTTAAAGTACTTTCCTGCAATATATTGCTTAAAATTGATCAGTATAGACAAAAAGTAAGAAATTTAGGATTATTCTACACAAAGACCCAAAAAGGAGTGAAATTTATTACTAATAAATTTTAAAAAATCCAAATAATACAAAATAATTAAATAAATTTGAAATTAAAACTTAAAAATAATAAATACATAAAAAAATACCAAAACCAGAAAAAGCTAAAGAAAGGAGAAGAATTCAATTAGATCTGATGTAACGTTATCACGAGGAGGATACATCAGACCCAATTACAATCCCCTTCTCACTTAAAAACCTTTGCGTTTCTGCATTCAAAACAAGCTGATGAACTATTCTAAAAATTTTTTAAATATCAAATTATAGAGTTCAATATTAAGTTCATTAAAAAATTTTGAAGAAATTTATTAGTATTAAATTTCACTCTTTTTCGGTCTTTGTGTAGAATGTGTTTTAAATTTCTTACTTTTCATCTAATATATATATATAATTTTGAATTTAACAAAACATTCTCTATTCGTAAAAAGCAAATTTAATTTAAATGAAATTTAATGTAAACAAATAATGATTAATTATTGTTGCAAACTAATCTACAATGAAGCAAATATATATATGTCATATTAAATAATTTAGTTCCTGAGCTAGATTCACACGAATGTAATAATTTTTGAGCTGTTGAAAAAGCGGAAGTGCAAATAATTTTCTGTCGCACGTACTTGCAAACACTAACTCAGATCGACCTTGAACTCACTGTAATGCTGAATTCCTAAACGGTAATTCACTGATGATTTAAAGCACTTTTTTTCTAAATATTGTAGACATCGGCGAAGCAAATTCAATATTTCATTTACTAGGCATTCGAAAGTACGCATTTATCCAATATGGCAATCTGTTAAGAGAAAGGTTTTTTTTTATGTTAGAAAAGTTTCAGTTCTCAGAGTTTAGGTTCCCAATTAACTATGTCATCAGCATTGTACAAGCTTTGTGGCAGATATTATTCTAGAAATGACACAGTCGAGAAATATTATTTTTAGAATAGAGAAACAAAATATCCAACTTAAAAATAAGGAATTAAGAATCTGTTAGTAAATTAAATTATAAAGCTGATTTATATATTTTATCATACACACACACACATATATATACCATAATATTTATTTATTTAACAAACAGCAGCAAATGATACCATGATTTGTTATTAAGTTTTGAAAAAAAGTACTAGAATCTATATATCCATGAAGAATATTAATAATATACATGGTTATTTGGATATTAAAGAAGTTTTTAAAATTCATCTTGGCAAAGAATTTTAATCCTAATTTAAAACTGTGAATTAACAGAATTACTATACTAACCGTATACCACATGTATGTAATTTCTGTGATACTAAGAAAGGAGGCAAAAAATGCAATAAAATTCTAACAGGATTTGTTGACCATGGGCACTGTAAACTAGCAACATGCTCAATGGTATTTGCACTTTTTTGTGGTCCAAACTGTGCAACAGCTTTCATAGGAATGTCAATGGAACTAAATGGCTTCAGATCTGGAAGGCTGATATTAATATCTTCAGACCAATCAGAAGTGGAATTTTCATCCTATGTATAGATACAAAAATTACTATTTCAGAAACTTTGCTCATTTTACAGAGCCAGATTAAAAATGTAATTCAATTATTTATTTATAAAGGGCACACCTATTTTCTTTACACAGCACACGTACATATATGAAACATACCTTCAACTTTAAACCTCGAGATGTTTTAATGTGAACAGCAGCATCAGTAGAAAATGAAGAACTACCACTAGAAATATGAAGTACTAGATTTTGTTCAATGCCAGCCAATAAGTCACCTAGAAGTACCACTAAGATGCTTAAATTATTGTATAATACTCTGTCTTAAATCAATTAATAAATTTCTAGATGATGCTTTTGGGCAAAATGATTAACACACGCATACAAAACATACATATGCATAAAATAATTTTCAAAAACAAGTCAGTCAATGATAAATACTGTACATATATAAAGTAATCAGACTGAAGTACTAAATTTCTTGTGCAGGTTAACATAATGTTTTCTCATAGTGTATGAAAATAAAATTAAACAAACTTGAAATGTATGAAGGTTCTTCAAATAAAAAATACTCTCAAATAATCAGACAAAATGCAGATTAGAAAAAAAAAAAAAAAAAATCACCAGTTTAAATAATTTATGGCCTAAAAGAATACAATACTTTGATAACAAATAAATTTAAAATGTACATTGCATTTCTACTAACCATTCACAGGTTTCATATTGACAGCAGGAGGCTCTTCAGAAACAAGGAATGAAAATAAAGGTGAAAGATTGGATAATGCAAAATGAATATTGCCCCATTCAAACCAGAGGCGATGAAAAGTGTATAACCCTGGTTCAGTTGCCTAAAAACACAATAAAGTTACATAAGACTACATATTTTTATTTTTTCTTTTCAAATTATTATTTGAAACAGAATATTATTCTATTTATTACATTACTGGCCATTGTAAAGTTTGTTTTAAAATATATAACGAAGAGTCTAATTGTTAAATTAAAATACTTTAATAAGCAATACAAATCATGCTGTCTAAGATGCTGTAAAAGTCAGTTTCAGAGCTTTTTCTCATTTGTTATATTCTTTCTTCAGAATTTGAATTTTATTATTTTGATGTTTCAATAACTTCTATATATTGAGAATCTACGATAATGAAAATTTTAAATCTAAATTGTTGGCATACAGAAATTTTTTATATCTACTGAAATATATACTAAACTCTTATTCAAAATCAGATACCTGAACAAAGTTTAAAAAATTTCAATTAAATAATGTTACTTCAAACCACTCATCTCCTAATGTTATTTAATACAGTGGATCATAAATGTACATATGTTTCCAATTGCTTACAGGACCTTTGGGCTCGTCGAAACGATCATAAAAATACTCAAACTCGAAAACACAAAAACTCATATTATATACTTAAAAAGTTATACTTTTTTTTACTTTATAACTTAAATAGATTTGGAAATGAAATAAATAAATGAAATGAACATTGTAAATAAATAAATAATTTGTAAATTAAAAATTTAAAAATGTACATAAGAGACATGTAAATAAAAATTGTCAAATGTTGCACGCATCATAAATTTGAAAATATTGCATATAGAAAACAATTTTTGGTAAAAACGTATTCGAAATACATTAACCTCTAATGTAAAACCAAAATATATAAAAAAATCAAATCTTAAATTTGAAAAATTAAGAAAACATTTTTAAAATTTAAAAATACATAATTTTTATCACTTTTTGAAGGTAAATTTTTTGGTTTTAGCATGCAGAGTAACAACAGTAGCATACACACTTAAATTTTTATAGGCGTAGCATATACAAGTTTGGTAGTATGGTTTGATAATAAGACTGCGCGCAAACTTGAAAATTATCAATTTGAGAAAATCTAATTTAAAGATACAATATCACTTTTCTCTAATGTATATTTTTCAAAACACATTTACAATGCACCAGAAGCATAAACTACTCCTTCATTTTGTTTATGAAGCTCATCAGCTTCCTTTTTTTTCCCCTTCTTCTGGTAATTTGAGCCTCTAAAGTATTGCCCTGGACTCGTTTCTGTGCGAATTTAATACGAATTCTATTTGCTTCTGCTGCAAATGCTACACAGTTAGCTCCAGGTATACATTCTAGTTCTTTCATGACGAACAGCGATGCCTGCTTTCCATCAAAGTTGGCTACTGCTAAATTTGCAGAGATTTCTACAATTTTCCTACTATTGTTTGTTGTTTTCAGACAAAAGGTCCAGATCAATGAATTTAGTGACTTGTTCACATTTTGCGTTCGACCATCAATGCATCTCTTTAGCAAGTCTGGGTGGGACAAATCTTTAAATACAGGTTTTATAGCATCCATAACTGCTATAGGAACTGAATTTTTGTGTTTAAAGTTTTCATTTGTGTCATTTACAACTGCTCTTTTGTATGTGCACCAAGAATCAAAACTGTCGGGGCAAATGTCATGAGTTATTTCATTATCATTTGAACGTTTAAGGTACCAATTAGCCCATATCCCCTTTTGCCTATCATGGCAATTGTCAGAATGCTTTCTAATGGCATTACCATAATATGATGTAATTTGATTTATCAGCACATCCGTAAGTCGACCTTTACCGCTAAGAGGTTTCTTGTCATACAGTTTCTTGCCACGGAATTCCTGTTTTTAAGTTTAATTTCCTCAAACGGGCACCCATTCGTTTTTGAATGTGGCATACAAAAGGATACACAAAGACAGAGGACATTCTATCTTCGAAATCAGAACATTATACGGGATATCCTTCATAAGGGCTAAGAAAGTTTTACAATCTCCATCACCTATATAATTAACGTAACTAACATTATACTTTTCTTTGGATCGCGAAAACATATTTAACATACCATTCACTTCCATTTGTGTAGATGAACCTAAATTATTCTTACTGCATACTTTGTTCACTAAGAGGTTTCTTGTCATACAGTTTCTTGCCACGGAATTCCTGTTTTTAAGTTTAATTTCCTCAAACGGGCACCCATTCGTTTTTGAATGTGGCATACAAAAGGATACACAAAGACAGAGGACATTCTATCTTCGAAATCAGAACATTATACGGGATATCCTTCATAAGGGCTAAGAAAGTTTTACAATCTCCATCACCTATATAATTAACGTAACTAACATTATACTTTTCTTCGGATCGCGAAAACATATTTAACATACCATTCACTTCCATTTGTGTAGATGAACCTAAATTATTCTTACTGCATACTTTGTTCGCTAAGAGGTTTCTTGTCATACAGTTTCTTGCCACGGAATTCCTGTTTTTAAGTTTAATTTCCTCAAACGGGCACCCATTCGTTTTTGAATGTGGCATACAAAAGGATACACAAAGACAGAGGACATTCTATCTTCGAAATCAGAACATTATACGGGATATCCTTCATAAGGGCTAAGAAAGTTTTACAATCTCCATCACCTATATAATTAACGTAACTAACATTATACTTTTCTTCGGATCGCGAAAACATATTTAACATACCATTCACTTCCATTTGTGTAGATGAACCTAAATGATTCTTACTGCATACTTTGTTATGTTCCATTTTCTATTTCAAATAGCTTTCCTTTGAGGATATATTTTTTCCAGTCTCACAACCTTTGCAGTAGGAACTTGAAATATAATGATCAATAACCTTACCCGTTTCACCACCAATAATGGAAGTTACACCGAAACGAGAAGAATGTCCTCTGGTTTTCCCTGTGCCACCTCTGCTGACGGTCAAATCTGAAGAACCAGTCATTTTTATTTCCTCATCAGCTGCTATCTTCATACTATTTTCCGTAATATTACGTGTAGCAGCATGCATATGACTTACAATTTTGTCATATAACTTCTGTGTTACAGGTGGTGGTAGATCCATACTTCCACAAAATGTTCTGGATTCTGTCAATCCTTTTCCAATATACCTCATTGCTAAAGTAAATCTTCTGTTTAAATCAGAAGCATTTTGTTTTTCACCTACAAGCTTGGAATTTTTTTTTATGTTAGTACTCCACAAGAGCAGCATGAAATATTTATTTTTATGGTTAATCCATATACTACTTCAGAAGTAATACTAATTTTATCATGGCAAATATGACAGCATACGCATTCTTCTAATCCAGAAAATAATAAACTTTTATCAATGATTGCATACCCTTCAAATTCACCGTCACCTGACACTACTAAATGATCTAGAGTTTTTTTGCTGATGCAGAGACACTTGAATCTTTATCATTAATTCTTGTGTACTGATTTCCACAAAAATTATTCCTTTTCCTTTTCTTTGGTCTTTGACCTGAAGCTCTTTTGATATTATTATTCATTTTTAAATTTCAAAACAAATATCTTTACATAAACATTTACTCAGTAAAACAAACTTGATATGAAAGACCGAAATAGAAACACTCAAACGACATTAGATTTAGCAGCATGGTAGTAAGAATTATCATGTAAACAAACTATCAGCAGTGAAGTTGATTAGTTGCCATCCTCCTTCCCCTACACGAAAAAGGAAATTAAAAAAAAAAAAACAGTATTAAATATTTCTTTGCATAATAATAAAAATATGAGCTAGTATACAAGGTAACCAAAATGTAAACAACTACCATATTTGTCCCTTTAAACAAGCATCGCTGATTTACTATACGAAATAAACTTTCATAACTCAAGAAATAATGCGAATTTTACAACGCGGTTTTTTGCATTTTGTTCAGAAATGTTTATATATTCATAAAATGTAAAAATCTGAAAATCGATTTTTTTTAAGATTTAAAGGTCCTGTGCCCCCTTAAAACACGACTATCCACTCATTTTTACCACTAACTATCTAAATACCAAATTATTTGATTACATGTTGTTTAGTTTTATCTATCTGCATTATCATTATATAACACTTTCATTATTTACATCTCTCTGAACCTTATGCCATTCATTAACACTTCAGAAAATTCTGAGACTTTCTGTAATAATTTCAGCACAACTCCAGACACAATTCCAATGAATTCTGCTAGTCCTTTTGAGTTCAAATTAATAAGAGTTCACTGTACAGGCATTATAATCCAATTAATAAATTTGTGTTAGTTTTTTTTAATAAACATGTAATAGAAGATTTAACTTTTTTAAGAAGACGACTCTCTAGTTTATAACATTAGACTTTACAGTATCAGAAAATGATAAAAAGCATGATTCAAGTGAAACATGAAAAGCAATATATTGATTTAGTTATTGCAAAAAATATACGATACATTTTGTAATAATCTAAAAAGCTAACAGAAACACTGCATACTGATAATAATAAATGTACTTGGATATCAAAGAAAAAATCTTATCATGGGAAAGGCAGACTTTATATTACAATATAGTTTAATACTATTTCCTTAAATGTAAGAAATTCAGTAGCTTTTGTTACAATAATTTTCACATAACTCATACACAGAGGACTTTTTTACATAAAGTTTCCTATGTTAGTCTATGATTTTTTTAAAGGTGAATAAAATTGTGGAGCTCATCTAGCAAAAGCTGGACTCAAGAATTAGCAATAACATAATTTTTACACATATAAATGTTCTAAAAAAAGACTGTTCCTGGGAAGGCTTACAATAACTGTGAAGTAAAATAGCCCAGACTATAAATGCAGCATAAAGGCGGAAAAATAAAAATCTTGATATTATGATGATGAATGAATTGAAATAAATATATATGTTGTATACTACATTACTAAAATAAATAAATATGTATATATATATTTTAAATTTAAGGTTTTATATTTTTTTACAATAATGTAATTTATAACATTATAATACACACTGTATTTAAATGTATATTTTTTCTCCTTTTTTTAACTAGTTTTACTTCTTGAAAACTGAAAAGAAGTAAATTATATGGTATGTATCATTTCTAAGGGAAAGTTCAAATAAAGCACATACAGTGTCTCACAAAAGTGATGGGACACTTGTGCTTTACAAAAGGAAACTGTAATAAAATAAATTAAAAAAACAAAAATTTTTTGTGGGTGCGTTTCATACTTAAATTTAGTAACAATTATTACATAACATACATTTTCTCAAAATATTAAAATATTAATTTAATAAAAATACAATTGTTTAGAACGGAGCAAAAAATGGCTCACATAAGTGATGGGACACCATTAGATACTACTACGTACTATGCAACAAAAATCGTCTGAAGTAAGCAATAAAAATATTTTTGGGGTTTTTATTTTTACTCAAAAGCAATTGGCAATAATTTATAAAATCGTCTGCAGTATTTCTCTCCAGTTTGTTTTGGAATTTTTGTGTTTTTTAGCTCTGTGCAGCCATGAATGCTAAACGAAAAGAAACTTTGCCTGAAATTCGAAAATTAGTTATTAATTTGCATATTGAACGTGGAAAATCTATTAGAGAAACTGCTGAAACAGTTAACTTGAGTCATTCAACAGTTTTCAATATCATTAAACGATATAAAAAGAATCATATGATTCAGGATAAAAGAAGACCTGGCCGACCATCAAAGCTATCCAATGGAATAAAGCGAATTATCGTTCGAAATATTAAAAAAAAAAAAAAAAAATCCAAGAATGAGTGCTCCTAAAGTTGCTGCTGATTTACAAGCATTATATGGAGTAATTGTTAATCCTGAGACTATTAGAAGAGTAATTCGATCTGCTGGATATCACGGTAGAGCAGCCAGGAAAAAATTCTTCGTAAGTGAAAAGAATAGAAAACTCAGACTGGCTTTCGCAAAATCCAACATAAATAAGAATTCTGATTACTGGAATGAAGTTATATTTGCTGATGAGAGTAAATTTAATATATTTGGTTCTGACGGTAGAATCTTGGTGTGGAGAAAACCCAGGGAAGAATTTCGCAAACAGAACTTGGTGCCAACAGTAAAACATGGTGGAGGAGGAGTTATGGTATGGGGGTGTATGTCGTCCGCTGGAGTTGGTAATCTTGTTTTTATTGACAGTATAATGGATCAGTACAAGTATATTGACATTTTAAATCAAAATTTGAAATCTTCAGCACGAAAATTGAACCTTCATAACGATTTTAAATTCTACCAGGACAATGACCCCAAGCACACTGCTTTGAACGTTAGACTCTGGCTGCTGTATAACTGTCCTGAAATAATAAAAACACCACCACAATCTCCAGACTTAAATCCCATAGAGAATATTTGGCAAGAATTGGAATCAAGAATTCGCAAACACCACACCATTTCTTCAAAACAACAACAATTAAAATCGGTGCTTCAAGAAGAATGGGGTAAAATCACTCCAGAAATCACAAAAAAAAATTAGTCGAATCCATCCCAAGAAGATTAAATCATGTTTTAAAAGTAAAAGGAAATCCAACAAAATATTAAAACCTTTTAAAAAGTAAAATTTTTGGATAAATATTTGATGGAAAAGTAAGTGTCCCCATCACTTATGTGAGCCATTTTTTGCTCCGTTCTAAACAATTGTATTTTTATTAAATTAATATTTTAATATTTTGAGAAAATGTATGTTATGTAATAATTGTTACTAAATTTAAGTATGAAACACACCCACAAAAAATTTTTACATGTTTTTTTAATTTATTTTACTACAGTTTCCTTTTGTAAAGCACAAGTGTCCCATCACTTTTGTGAGACTCTGTAGCTGTTAGAAATATGGATCCCTATTTGCTGCACAGCTGAGAATGACATCAGGGAATAAGTGCTTATATGGATATGCAGTAGAGGTTTCCTGTAAAAATATGGAAGATCTAGATACATCACATCAAGGTGATACTTTGACCATGAAATTTTACTGAAGGGTTTGTGGCAATGTTGTATCCTATGGCAATTGCAGTACAGTCAATTCCATTACTAATCCAAGAGTACTGGCAAACCACTATTTTTTCTTGAACAAAAATTCTGTATGAAAATTTGAAGACTCCCAAACAAGTATTCCAGTATTGACAGATACCCAAGTATTCAATCCAATGACTAATCCTTGCAATCAGGATGGTATTAGTAGTTTATCTTGTTGAGATTCATCTCCTCTGCAATTATTGATTCTCCTTACCTGTATGCCTAAAATCATGGACCTTTTTTTTTATTTTTTACTACTTATGTTTCCTCCTGTAGCATATTTAAAATTATGTATGTATACACTTGCTAATATTACTGTGTTCTACATTTCAAAGTTTTTAATTTAGTAATATTTCTTTAGCTTACAGTAAGCATTTTCATATCTGGGCATACATTTTTTGCTGTACAATAAACCAGAAGTTTCTAAACAATGTGCTGAAAAATCTAGGGTAATGGATGCAAAAGCAAGAAACTAAACATAGTATGATACAAAAATTTGAAAATTAATAAAACTATTAAAAAGTAAAACCACATATGGAGCACAGTTACGTACCTTAACTGTTATTGTAACAACATTGTGCCCTGGAATAAGTTTGACCATACTACTTTTGAAATAAGGCCCACCTTCCTCTTCAGTAATGTCATCTTTATGAAACCCTTGACTATCTCTGCGTCTCAAAACTTGATGGGTATTTTTGCACATAACTGAATAAATCTGTGATCCTTCTAAACGATATGAACCTATGATGAGCTGAGGATGAACTAAAATTCGCTGAGGCATATCATCTCTAGATGGGATACCCAGCTCTCCAGACTGCATTGGTGACATAGGACTATGAGTTGCAGAAATTCCAGATTTTGAGCTCATATAATGAGAATCTACTTGCTTAGATTTATCCACAGCAGGAGCAGACTGTTTCTTCAAAATTAATTTTACATTACGGCAGATGATTTCGCTAGGTAAATTACTTTGAACATGAAATGTTACAAGTATGTTACTATTTTTAATGATAGGTGTCACTGAAGATTCAATTTTAGCACCACTTACTAAAAAGGTCTTCTCTGTTCTTAAAAGTAAGTTTTCTGTCAGGAAAAAAAACACATATTTCAGAATAACTTCATAAGACATAAAATGGCATATAAACACTGTAGTTCAAGAAATAACTTTGTATAATAGCTATGCCCTATAATACTGTTCTACAACTACATTAAACAATGGCAGAAAATAATGAACAAATATATTTTAGACTTTATTTTCTCAGCAAATACAGAATTCGAATTAGTTAAATTTGTTCATAAATATCAATTTATCCTGTTTAATATATAGTGAAGTCACTATAACTTTCAAATAAATAAGAGACATTTTTAAACAAAATATTTCAAAATCCAATCAAAAAACTTTCTCTGTACAAGCTATACTGTAGCACTCAAAAAGTGAAATTAAGAGAGTAGGGGCAGGAACTTATTTAATAGAGTACTTATGCATTATCCCCATTGACAATGAAACTGTCACCAAACAGTGCGATTTACACTGATTAGTGTGATGCCAATAAGCACAATGTCACAACACACTCATAACATCTGCACTCTTGTTTGAAGTAACCCCAAATGATTTTCAATAAGACACCTTTTAATTTAGAAGTCAAATAACAAAAATCAGCATTAGATTTGCAAATTTTTACAGGACTAGGTTCGAAGATTTTACTGAACCATCATCCTCAGCTGCCAAAGCACAAATTAACGAGATAAGATATAGTGATTAGACAAGATAAGAATGGCTGGACAACAGTTAAGCTACTGGTGCCATCTTTTGATGAAAAAAGAACTAAAACATAATTTCCTTACATGCTCAAGGCAAAGATGGATTGGAATTAGGATGATTAACAAGAACAGAAAGATTTTTTTAACGTGAAATGCTTCTAGAAAATCTAATTCACCAATGGAAGATTTTCTTTAATAGTTTTGGCTGCAGAAAAATTGAAAGTGTGATTTTCGGACCAACAATGCTGGGCAACAGAGGACTTCTGGGTTTCCTTTCTGTGTTCAAGAACTAAATTATTTAAAAGCAGTAGCTATTGACAGGGGCTTTACACCCAACATTATTAATCAAGCAGTTACAAAATTCCCATCTCAACATGCTAAAAGGCACACTCTAAATATCTTTCAAAAATAAATTAAAACACATAACAAGTAATTTTTAAAAACAGAGATTAACTTTATAGAGAGCATCAAGTGGGTCAAGTATCAAAAGTACACATGCACTAAACACATGGTGGTACACAAAAAAATAATAATTGCAGTTAACTGAAAATTCATAAAATTTTAAAATGTTTCTGTGATCCCCAATAAAATACTTCTACCCCTAGTTTAAATAAGAAATGCTATAAATAAATAATGCCCTGTATCTCCCATTTAGGAAATAAAATAATTTTACTTTATATTTTTATCCATAGTATAATAAATATTTTTAGGAGATATGATTATTACATAAAAGCAAAATTTTTTTGCCAAACATCTTATTAAAAAATAATAAATATGCTATAGGTCTATGTAATTTTCCTATATTTTCACCATATTAATTAAATAAATATATCTGCAAAATATTTAAAAAAGGAAATGCATATAAACTTAATTATCTTAAAGCTTACCTGAACCTAAATTTTCACTGTGTACAATTATGTCTTGGAAATAATCTTTTCTTTGGTCTAACGTAAATAGAGTTGTAGCAGCCAAACGAATGCAAGTCTTCAGATACCTTGGAATGTCGTTCATTGCAAGATAGCATTCATATAAATCTTGTTGTATATTAGCAGTTAAAGTTTCCCAATTTTCTTCACGATATGTTTTCAATAAATCAGCCAAAAAAGATACAGCTTTCTGAGGTTGTTTCATTTTCCTAAAATACAATCAAAAACTTTACTAAAACATATAATAATATAACATTATAATGATGTATTCCATTTTTTTAAAGATACATAATACAAAAATATTCTATTAAGAAAGTTCGAGATGATTACCAAATCATTTATCACAAATTTGCTGTTCTCAAAACAGCACATTCTGTAAAATTAATAGTATCATATGGACTGAATACAAGATAACGTTTCTCTCCGGAAAATATATTTCTGAAAAACCATATTTGTCTTAGAAAACAGTCTTATATTTAAAAATTAAGATATTCCATAATTTTTATATTTAAAAGTAATTTAATTTTCTCAATGGATGACACTTACCTACTTGATCTTTTCAAAGCATCTGGTATTTAATCATCTATTTATCTTCTTGATGCTTCTCATAACAAGTTCATTAATATATATATATTAATATACCAAGTCCACAAAAGTCCTTACCTAGCCTTTATTTTCATAAACCTAGACATATACTTCAAATCACAATTTTTTTTTAATGACATAAGTATTCACATTTGGGCATTTTCAAATTTTAAACTATATCTTATTACATTAATTTTGTAAAAATTGATAAACCTAACTTTTATATGGTTCTCTGGTCCCATATTAAAAAACATTTCTGCTCATTCAGGGTTCGTACACATTTCTGCACACAGAAATTAAGTACTTTTAAGGACCATTAATGAAAAAAATTAAGGACCTAAGAGCAAAAGGGAACTGAATAAATTCAATTGAAGATATTATCTATGCCTGAATTTCACTTTTGAAATACCATCCTAAAAATAAAATAGATCCCTAAGTAGTACGCATTATTACTAAACACGAATTAATTAACATAATTGTTAATAAGTTTGAGAACAAAATAAACTATGCAATTTCTCAAGTAGCATTAAATATTTTACACTTAATGATATTTGGCCATATTTGAACGTTTATATCGATTTCCTTCTCTTTTAAGCATCTTTTCTAACAATTAGAGTTTTGTACCAATATGCAAACCAATGCTCTCACTAGTTTCTGCGTGCTTCGTCTCCTAACTTGTCAACCTCTCCATAATGTACCTATGAGGGTTTAATTAATCTGGTAAAAGTTAAATAGTCCAAAACCCCCGACAGACGTGAAGCATATTATCGCTATGTCTGAAAGTAACTACAATATCAGACAAAGGTTTAAATAAGCCTCTTATTTAAAAAGAACTTAGAACATAAAGGCATGTTCTGATGCTAACAAAATCAATTACAGCTCACGGTGACGTAATTAAACAAGAACAGTCAAATTCAAACTAATAATGTGGACTAGTTGCCAAAGATTATACAATTTAATTGTAATTTAATCTGGTTCAATAACTCTATCGTACGAGGAAATAGAAATGGGAAATTATAGTAAAGGTTGAAATCATAAACAGTTGGGTAATTTACATAATAATAGTTGCACGTATCTTTAAAGAATAATTTGCTTTATGTACTCAGTTTCTTTCTTCAACACGTTTCCTTTTCATTTTAGAATTTTTGGATTTAATTAAGGATTTTTGTTATTCTAAAAAACACTAAATGCATTTAGAATGTACAGAAAAAGCAGCTAATTTTATTTCTTTAGTAATATGAACATTCAGAAGCAATATGAAATATATATATAGTAAAGGACGGTTGCAGAGCTGATGTGGCAGAATTTCCAGAATTTAATGACACACTGAACAACAAAATCTAGAGATGGCAAAACTTTTAGAATTTAGAGCAAGCATTGGAAGCAGAATTTAGAAAGGCAGTAGGCAACAGAACTTAGGATACACAGAGATTGCATCAGGTGGGAAAATGCCTAGTGTATGATGTATTAAGAAATATTAGATGAATCTTTTTAATTGTAAGTTTTCAGTCTCTTTAATAATCAAAAAATCTTTTTCTATAATGCCTGTCCATGTGATAAGATCAGAAGCATTTTTGATATTATCCATGCTTCTGTCTAGTGAAAAGTAGAGAAAATAAAGAGAAGATAAACATGTTAAGATTCTAGTATCAGAAGTAATACATTCAAATATTATGTTTTCATTGTTCTTCCAGATGTTCTCCCAAAATTAAGAAATTCATTGTAAACTTTCTGTAAAATACATCCATTACGTGTTGACACCATGGAGACATTTTTTATTTTGTCACATATTTCTGGAATCTTCTAGAATCGTGGGTCTATAAATCTTGCCTTCAAATCCTTCTAAACTTTCCAAGCTGCAATGTCTAAAATCCTAAAGAAAAATTATCCCAACCATTTCTGTAACAGTAAAAAGGCAGATATATTTTGGAAAAAAGGTAGGAGGGATAAAGTATAAAATTAATTTTATAGAGAAAACTGATGCACATTCTGAGAATTTTGAATATTCTGAGACAGTTGCATGGGAAAAACTCTTACTATGAAAAAATTAAAAACAAGACATTTTTAATTAATTACATAGCTAATTTTGCTTTTTCTAAGAGCTGTTTTGTAAATTGTGCTTTATAGCATTATTTATTTTTCAGATTTTTAAAATATTGTATAAGTTGCCAAAATGAAATTTTATAATATGACAGTGAAAAATAAAAATGTTTTATTTTAATGTTTTTTTTAAATATAATTTCAATATATTACCATTATTTTAATAAAATTTATCAATATTACAATGTTTTAAAAAAATCATCGAAAAATACTCAGATTTTGGATTTAAAAAGTTTCTATAGAAACTAATCTTAAAATCGCCAAAATGTGCATTAGTTTTCTCTATTAAATTAATTTTACCTCAAAAGCAAAAAGTTGTTTAAGAGCTCTTTACTAGAAAAAACGAATTTCGAAATGCTTATGTTTCACGGTACTTATGTATTAATGCAACCAGGCCAAAATTTGCATAAATCGCCAAATTTGGCGACCCTACTTACGACAACCCTATGTGTTATACGTAGTTTTTCGTAAAGAAATTATTTTTCTTACTGGTTATGGAATTATACCGAACGAACGTACTAGTAAAAATTCTCATAAAATGAAACTGTATTTTGGAAAGCAAATCTTCTGGAAATGTAACGTCGAAGAGTGCAATCAACATTTGAGTGTGAGAACCGGAAATTGGTTTGAAGGTAGCCGAATTTCATTTGTGACAGCGGTTTCAATCAGTGCTAAAAGCAATAGCCAAAAGATTTCCGCCGAAAAAATAATTCTGCAACTTATTCAAATTTGAAACCGGAAGGGTTTAAAATTGCTATTTTATATTTTAAAAAAACAAATAATAAAAAAACTGTATTAAAAATTATCTGTAATTAATAAATGTACATTTTCTTTCTATTCATACTTTTTTACTCAAACTTACAAATCGCATCAACCTGGTTGCGATAATACATAAGTACCTGTTTCACTTCTTGCTTAGAAACTCGAGTATCCCATCATTTATATTAGAAACAGAAACAAATTATAACTCATGAACCCAATCAAAAGGTTACCATATATACGGCAGTGAATCACCAAAAATATTCCTCAAAATGCTAATTCACACTCAAAATGACAATCGTAAAAAAAGACAGAAATTTCAGATGATTAAAATTAAGGACCTTCTGTTGATGTTGGCCAAAATTAAGGACTTCTAAGGACCAAAAATCGATTCCAAGAAATCTAAGGACTTTTAAGGACTCTTAAGGACCGTACAAACCATCATTATTAAAAATCAAAAACAAAGTTAGACTCCTGTATGACAAAAATTGACAGAGGTATTTAATTTCAAAATTTTGGATACTGGGCATCATTGTTCAACTTGCCTTAGGGGATCAGTTAATAAATAAATTAGAATAATTCGAGATTATTTTTTTCCTCTTAAATGCAATTCTGTGACATTCTTCAGCAGTATGTTAGAAGTTTTCAAATACTAAAAATGCATTATCGGTATTCTCATGAAGTTCCTGCTTAAGAATCAGAATCTAAATGTGTCCCACCAAATGGTGTAGCAAGCACTTCACGAGGAATGATTCTTCACATTCCATGTGCAGAGGGTTCAAAAACCTATCAAATATAGATTATGCACCTCATATCACATTTTCCAGTGGTTATTACAGGAGACCGCCGTGGATCTGGATTTTACATCACACGTATTATTCATTGACAAATGCACATTCTAATAATAAAGGATATTGAATATCCATAATTATCATGTCTGGGCAACTAATATTCCACACACCACAAGCCCAGGGTTGTTTCAGTTTGGTTTCCATTTGAACATAAATGTTTGGGTAGAATTGTGAAGACTATCTGATTGGTCCATACCTGCTGCCAAGTCACTTGGATGGATATTCACATGTCGTGTTTTTGTGAGGGATGCTACCTAAAACTTCTGAACCCTGTTCCAAGAGACTCCTGTGGTTCCAACATGACAAGGCACCATAAGATTATAATGTGAATGCACAAAACGCCTCTGATACCATGTATCTAAAAAACAATGGATTGATCATGAGGGTACAATCAACTGGTCAGCTGACCTCACCCAATCTACTACCTGGATTTTTTTCCTTTGGAATCACATGAAGAAACTCGTCTATGATAGACATCCCATTGATTTTGAGGAAGAACTTGTTGGTCAAATATCTGTAGCTGCTGGAACCATGTGAGAGATGCCTAGTTTGCTCACTAAATGTATGCAGTCAATCTATCAATGATGCCAAGCCTGCATTACTGTTGGCCGGTCTCAATTTACTTCTTTCTCATTATTTCATGATGCAGGACATCTTCCCCTACAGCACCTTACTGTTTGTGTTTCAAGTATAGGTTGAGTAATGATTTGCGCTTGTCCAGTCATGTTGTTCTATCACCCCCTAACATATGTACCATGAGTTTAGGAACACCCTGTATATGACCAATGGTTATAAATATAAAGGTCTGGTAAGGATGTTTGTGGACACGGTGTATGCAAGACTATCTTCAAAAACAGAGCTCCTTAAGGGTAGTGAATTGTGACCCTCAGAGGCTGCAGAATGTTCTCAGGTAC